ATGCCCTAAAGTCGTGAAACACCCTGTATGTATCCAAAATCTTTCATCCACCAATCTCCTATATCACCTAGGTAAATTCTCACACAAGAATTAAACAAAAAACTTGTCGTCTTGACTTTGTACTGAGTTCCTGTAAAAGTCTTGTTCATGTAACCAGCAGTTTCATGTAATGGGTAAACAAATTCCCCAGACATACTGCATAATGGGGAGTATCTTTTACTAAAAGTATGTGTTAAAAATTTTGGCTTTTATCCACTTTTCATACACACTCCCATGTACATGCACACTTCTTGGAGAAGCCCTCATGTTCTTAACAACTGTGTAACAAGCCACCTCTTTCTGAACAGTTGCATTCAAAATGTTCATGAACGAAAGCTATCGAACTGTGTAATATGTCACCCAGTTCAAAGGAGTTCTGATGGCCGTACATTACACACAGTATTACAGAGTTTCTACATTTTGTCAGAACAGAACACAGTATTCTGAAACACAGACTTATTTCTTAAATCCTTTCTCATTTTAATTTAGGTCTTCACAGATATTTACACAAACTTTACTGCAAAAATTTTCCTATTATCTCCCATTCAGAAAACCTGATCTTAGGTGCATATGCAGATTTAGTTGATTCAGACCGTCACTGATCGAGATAACCTCTTTCTAACGGACTTCCAACTGGACTACAATCATTCCTTTCATGGCCATCACTATATCACAACATATATACACCCTTTTACCTTCATTCACTATCTAAATAAACTTTGAACTAAAAATGTGAGGCATGAAAAACAGCCAGATTGGGCCATTATGGTAGTATATTATTCAACACCTACAATACACTGTTCTATTTTCATTCTGGCAAATTGCATTACACAAGTCTTATACCTACTTTATGAGTCATCAAATAATGTTAACAGCCATAAACAATGGTAACTGTGGAACCGTGGCCATCTTGGAGCCAAAAAAGAGACAGTAACAAACTAACTTTCAAACCCAGAACATTATTAAAACAACTGAAATATTAAAGTGTGCTCAATAGTCAACAAAATGTCAGTAGCACAAGATCTATAATCTCAGTGATTAATCACCATTAAATGAACTTTACTATAAGCATGAGGAATCAGAGAATATATAAGAACACTGCACTACATCTATTTCCCGATATTCTCTGAATTTACGCACTATGACTCACATGCTGTTCTGTGCTAAACACTGACTGCAATAAACAGAGTTTGGAATTCATACATTTCTATATAAGCCTCAAGCCAAAAATAACAAGTCTATTAACTTCCACACATTCGTACACATGTATCTGCTATAACAAATTCTGATTACAAATTAAGGTCAAAATTTATTGTTCTGGGCCAAGTACATTTGGAAAACAAAACAGATTTATGTATTTTTGATGTTGGAAATTCTGAATCATCAAAACACACAACACATAAAAATAAAATTTCAATAAAAATGTTATTCTGATACATAACATGAATACCACACGCAATTCTTTAAGGCCAAAAAACTTGGCTACTCTGACACTTCAGATGAGAAGACATTTGGTTCAATCATAAAATGTAAACAACACAAACAGCAATATCAAAGTCTCTGTCAATATAAGGAAAACCCCATTAAAATACACAAGGCATCTGTACAGATATTTCGCGGCTATTTCCTAACAAGATCCAGAGAATATCGAGTACAGCATTCAATATTTACTAGTCATCAACTAAAAGTACTGTATATGCTTAACCAATAAATTACTACTGACCATTTGTTTTCAGCTACTGAAATTCATTTTATTCATGTGCTATGTGTTATCTACATGGGATAGGCTTGCAGAGACAGAGCCTGCCCAAACCTGTATTGCTGTAACAGCGAGCCCCTAAGGTTATCAGTACTGCGTCCACTCGTGCTACAGGGAATGCAAGAAATACAGTGAGCTATTTCTTTCTTCAGATTCAACTTCAAATTTGTCAAAATATATTTTCCTTTTTTTTTAAAGCTCTTACATACACATACACACACATATAAAAAGCATTTATATAAAAGAATGCTGATACTGCAAATTCAGCAATTACCAGCTGTGTACTGAATTACCACAACTGAGCCAGCGAAGTTTATAGTACTTCAATGCTAATACCATTAAACCACTGCCACTGAATACCCAGTCTGTGAATAAACAAATTGGGTACAGAAGGACCAATTTCTTCACTTCGCTGTTCACCCAGTCTCATGCCATTACATTTCTTTCCTTTGGGGTTATGCAAAAGACAAATCTTACTCCTCAGAAGTGTTGATGCTGTAACAGTTATTCAAGATACATCTGAGCACACATGATGATGACTGAAATACAAACTCAGTGTATGCCCACTTCCAGCTCATATGAAAATAACTGTTAAGCCACAGTTTGTTCCATATTAAGTATAGCATCTTCTGGGATGTGACACCGTGAAGTCTAGTAGTTTACCAGCATTTCAGAGGAACGTACTGCCTCAATCTTTAGGGTTGAAGAGAAAGTCAAGCAAACAGCCACAGAGAACTTAGTAGCAAACACACAGTTGTTCTGTTCTGTTTATTGTACAGTGTTTTGCGTAGTCATAACTTGTTCCTTTTTTCTAACCCACTCCATTTATTGTACACTTCTGTGTGAAATACCAGCATTCTTTTATAGGAACTCCACATTCTGAGGTCACTAGAAGACTTTAAAAATATATCTACACTTGACACTCAGAGACAACAAACAAATTTGGCAATATCCAAATGTATCTTGATAACTAAGATGCAACAGCATAATAAGTTATTACAACAGAGGGAGTATTTTCAGTACCAAGATCTCAATTGCTATGTTACACTTTCTGGATCCTTTTATACTGTACTGTCCTGTATGGTGAGGAAAGAATGACTGGGAATTTTACATAAAAAAATTAAACACAGCAACATCTCACATGGCATGCACAGCAGCTTCTGCTAGGGCTGCAGACAGGAATGAGACTCCTTATGACATGGAAATAAAACCGCAGATATGCAAAACACAAATAACAAAGGCAAGTTCACACACACATACTGTTGCCAAGAAAAAGATATTGTAGTTGCAGTGAATTTAACTAACTGGGAATCAGAGAACACATACCAACTGGGAGTTTATCATTAGTTAGTGATATCCCTAGTGGACTCTAGAATTGAAAGCATGAATTACAGTTGTTGTGAAAGGCATCACTAAAGAAACAGTCACTGCAGTTATGAAAAATTTCAAAATTCTTTTCTGCAAATGGTATAAGATTCACAGAGATCACATATTAAATCTCCCGTGTCTGATTGGTGTTGTGATACCAGAATCAGTTTAGTAAGTGCAATACATCAACAAACAACGGCATTTAAAATTAATGCTGCTATTGTTGGAGAGTAAGAACGTTATTGTTGTTTGAATAGCTCACAATAATGAATACTGAGACATATGAGCCGTTTCTATAAGAACAGAGACACATCCCTAAACATTCTCATGGCAACAGATACAGGCAACAATAGAAGAACTACCATTTCTATGCAACGGCCAGTAAACACCCCCCTCCCTTAAGAACCTGACAATATAGGGGAAAATGTATTTTCTATGCCGTCCACACCAAGCAAACGCACAGAACAAGAGGACATCTGTTGACAGGCAATGAAGCTGTAAACACACATCCTTAACATAAGAAGATGGTGTTTTCCGCTGGGGTCTGTGGAGAGGAGTTATCTTCAAGGCAACTGGCGCTATGAGTCTGTCAGTTGTCAATAGGAGTTAGCCACAAGAAGTTTGTAGTTGAAGAATTAGAAATCGGTGTTATTAGAAGTCTTTATTTATGTGTAATATTTGGAGGGTGTAATTTTTATTTCGGGTTTGGTACATGTGTGCGGTGTTTTCTACTCCATAAACAGTCAAAACTGAGTTATCTATATCACTTACTACAGAGAAGTGTGTTTTATGTGTAAGCAAAATATGTCACATTTCAGACCTCGCTGAAGTAATCAGGTAGAGCATTCTGTGCAGTGGATGTGCACACTGCATTATGTCATGCAGTTACAGATTTGATTTTAACTTAAACCCAGTTAGCATCCATTTGCAAAGTATGGGAAACAACAATGATCGGAATATGGTTTCTGGAATGTAACCCAGACTTCTCACTTATGAAACAATGAAGAAAAATAATACTTAGATTATGATCCTACAATAAAATCAGCCTTTACCAGAAATCAGTACCAGCAATCTTCCTGGGGATAAAGGGCAGTCAGTGCATAAGGCTGAAAACCTCTCTGCCATCAGTGAGCTAACTGTCTGGAAAATGTGGAAGCCTCGACATCTCACAACCCTATGGCCCTCCACAGCCTGTTAGGAGGGATAGCTTTCCCGTACGGTTCTGATGACAAGGAGAATTTAGCACTATTTTCATTCTACATAAATACATACATGTTTACTTCACACGAAGTATAATTCCCTGCTCCGTGGAGACTGCATACACACAAACATCCACATTCAGAGTGTTTTCTTACCATCTGACACTTCAAAATGTGTACAACTTCTTTGTTACTGTTGACAATCCTCAACTGAGCAACAAGACCGCATCATACACGTTGAATCAAAATGTGTTTGTTAACTAAACGCTTTACTCCTCTGCTGGTTCTTGTGTTGCTGTGGAGAGACAATTTCTTCAAGATTCTCTTGATGGTGTAACATGAACAGAACACTCATGCATATATTTCCTATCATGGTTGGGACACACAGAAGACACAAACTACCTTCTTCAGTGCAGAATTTCTTACAAGAGCACAATGGTACTACATTAAATATTAATCTAACAGCAGATAATAAAGGATGATGATGAAGGAAAAATAATACCTGGATGAGTGACAAAAGTCAAATGTGGTCCAAATCTCAGTGTATAATTCAGTCAATAAAATATGTGATTCTGATATCAAACCACCACTAGGGGAAAAGAATTTTAGTCTTAAATATAAATTGTGATACTCACAAGGTCGTGTTGGAGGTGGGGCATGGCTCTCCTCCAGCTGTGCAAGCGTCACCTCAACCTTCCTGATGCTCGAGAAGCCATGCTGCAGCAGCTTCATCACCTTCTTAATGAACCCCACATAATCTAAAATTCAAATTACACCGTGCTTACATATGGAGAAAACACATTAACATTCCCGACTTGTATAATAAAAGGGATCAGTTCCTAAACACCACACATTAGAGTCAAATGGACAGCACTCCATTTTCTTATTCAGGAGGTCCATTCTGGATGAGATTTCTTATGAGTTTCCTCATCCCTCTGAGTAAATGCCAGGACAGGACCTCAAATCAGGCCCACACCATCTCCATCCACATGCTTTCCAGCTGATTATGAACTAATCATACTATCTTTTGATGCTATATTCTGGGCTACTGACAGCACCTTTAAACATACCTTAAATAACTAAAATTTCCTAAGCAGACAGTCTTGCCCTTTCATGATATATATAAAGGGGCCACAGAGATCTCAGTTTCTTACATAGGCAGTACGGTTAAATTCATAACTCTAATACTATGGCAGCACCTTTCCTTCAAATATTTTAATTTTTACTGAAAGGTCAGGAAGAACAATAAATTAAAAGCCATATAATTCAACATTCCATTCCTGTTCATCAGTTTCACTAGTACAGATTTCAACCAAACATCACTAGATTTGTAATTACTGATAAGTAATTAATATATCATACAGGATTTGTAGTATATGTATAACCTATCTCCATATAAAATTCCACATGCCTAGCTCTAATGGTTTACTAATTACTGTCATCATTCAAAATACTAGACCTATACTTTGTGCAGACAGCACATAAATTTACATTCTTTTATAATACTACTCCCACACTAGATTGCAGACCAGTCACTAAACAGTAACACCTCACACATTTGCATGGCTACCATTCTGATATTACTGGAAGTGGATATTAATAAATGGGGCACTCTCTAGTGTCACAATGTTCATCACAAGTTTCTAAAAATTCTGTCAGTTGACTCAAAACTTTTAGGAAGAAAAAGGAGAAACAGTTATCCAGCATGTATGAAGAACTGTGTGTGCCAATTACATAAATCTGCTGGTTGGATGTGATAAACTTTTACACAAAGCCAATGCAGTACAGACTAATAAACAAACCTACAGTGTTAAACACACAGTGAAAAAACGACACTCAAAATGAAGTGCTCTATAGGCTGAGAGGTGCAATATTTCGGACATACTGTAACCTGGCCACAAAATTCAACTAACCTCTACTGCAACACAAACCACAGTCACTGCAAGAGGTAAGAAGACAGTGCTATTAGTGGGAGAGAGAACTAACCTGTAGTAGACAAACATATGCATTCCATCAAATTCTCCATAAGCATTATCACCAGTACAGGTACAATACGACATATGGAAGTTGACGTGCCGAGGGGACCTAATATGGACTCCACCTCACACTATGTGAAATCTTAACTATTGTAATCTACTGTAAACAATTTTAAGTATTATAACTTTATTCTCTTATTGTAATCAGCCAATGTACAGTAACTGACTTGTCCTATATCATGTAACAATGATCTATAGAGACAAAATAAATAAATAAAAATAAAAAATATAGTTTTTGACAAAATGTTCAGTGGGTTGAAAGTTGCAAAAGGCCAACAATAACCATCTATTGTCTATTGCATGACTCACTGGCGCACCTCCTGAACACACACACACACACACATAGAAAATAATCAACATACGTGGTGCAATCCAAAAGTTCCCGAAATATATCAATAAAAACTATTACGTCTTACCTGGATCTTTTTCTGCACCATCACCTTCAAAGTAGTTCCCTTGGGAGTGCATACACCGATCACAGCGTTTCTGCCACTTTTCAAATGCATCCTGGAAGTCTTTCTTTGTTAGGGTGTTTAGTACCATCTGCGTTTCCACTTGAATTTCCTCAACTGTATCAAATCTTCGCCCCTTCAAACTGATTTTCATCTTGGGGAAGAGAAACAAGTCGCATGGAGCTAAGTCTGGCGAGTATGGTGGGTGGGGAACAACTGCCATCTTGTTTTAGCCAAAAATTCCTGCACAATGTAAGCCATATGCGGTCGTGCGTGGAGTACCCAGTCATTCGTCCTCCCTCAAACGCCTTAGAACATCGTGATAGAACTCTTTGTTGGCTGTCTGACCAGGAGGGACGGACTCCTTATGAACAATCCCATCAATATCAAAAAGACAGATCAACATGGACTTAATGTTGCTCATGACTTGTCGAGCTTTTTTTTTTTGGCCTACGTGAAGAAGGGCTCTTCCATTGCGACAAGTGCTGCTTACTTTCAGGGTCGTAGCCATAAACCCAACTTTCGTCACCAGTGACAACCTTTGAAAGAAAGTTTGGATCCTCTTGAAGCTGTTGTTGAAGTTCCCTGCAGATTTCTAAGCAATGCTGCTTCTGTTCATTTCGCAGCAGTCGTGGCACAAACTTCGCCGCAATCCTCCTCATGTTCAGTTCCTCTGACAAAATTCGTTGACATGTACCATAACTTAGTCCCAAGGTGTTACAGAGGTCTTGGATGGTCAGTCTACGATCTTGCAGAATCAGATCCCTAACTTTCTCGACATTTTCTGGTGTGGTGCCAGTTGACGGCTGTCCCGAATGATCGTCATTATCAGTTGATGTTCAGCCATTTTTGAAATGCTTATACCAGTCGTAAGTTTGTGTCTGGCCTAAACTGTTGTCACCAAAAGCTTCCTTCAACATTTGGTGCGTTTCTGCAGTGGTTTTCCCAAGTTTAAAACAAAACTTTATACAGACACGCTGCTCTCTCAGGTCAGCCATTGCAAAACCGCAAACTCACGGAAACACAACAAAAGAGACACGTTCACCAATAAGCCCAACCACTCAACTCGACGCCGCTTGCTATACTGATTCAAGAAGGGTGTGTGGGGAGACCCCTAGCGGTATTTCAATGTATTCATAACCATTCGCGCGCAAAATTCAAATTTCGGGAACTACTGGATTGCACCACGTATAATAAACAAACCAGAACAATTACCCCTTGGGAAATCCTGTGGGCTCACTAATTCTCGGAAGAATTCCTGTGCTACAGTTGCATTCTCTGCATCAGAAGTGGAAGAAACAAACCAGAAATGGAGAGTACGACTCTCCTGGGTATGTTTGCCTGTTTGTGCAGACACGAGGAATACACGGAATTCCAGTGAAAGCTGTGCTGGGTTATTATCTGCATCTACAAAGAAAGTGAAGTCCGCTTCAGTTTCATACTGTTATCACACAGTTCAATTAATATATGGAAACTGCATGGTAAAATACTCATCTCTTAATCACTATCCTTGGGACTCATCTTCATACAAAGATCTGCAACTACACTATGTTAACACCTGAATTCTAATGGAGGGTAAAGAAGCAAGGCATAAAAAATAATAAAAAGAAAAGTCAAACTATATTACAGTAAACCTCCACTAATCTGAATTAATTGTGAGTAATCATCTGGATTAAGCGATTAGCCAGATAAATGAAACAAAGGATAGCTCTAAAAGACACCAGGTGTATACATAATCCCCTGCAAGTGCGACAAGGTCTATATTGGGCACATGGGTCGTTCCATGGACACGAGGATGAAGGAGCATCAGCAGCACATTCATCTAGAACATCCTGACAAGTCAGCTGTGGCTGAACACAACATCGATTTGGGACACCGCATTCAGCTTCAGAATATCTCCATCCTCGCCACCAAGACCCAATATACGGATTGCATCATTAGGGAAGCCATTGAGATCGAACTCCATCCCGACAATATGAACGGGGGGGGGGGTTGTCTGAGCATGTCATGGAAGCCTCTCATCTGTTTTCTCAAGAAACCTCCAGGACTTCATGCCAGATCCACAAGGTCACACAGTCCATGCCCGACTCGCTTTCCAACCCCCAAGCTTCAGGGTTAATGTCATCCATTTAACCTTGCCTTCTTGCCCCCCAACACATACTCTATACCTGCTCTGGCCTACCTTCCCAGACCCTTCCCCTCCCTCCTCTCTACCAATTCCTCAAGTAGCCCCTCTCCCATCTCTTCCTGCTCGTATACAGCTGTGTTTGTTCTTGACTGGACTCAGTCTGTTCCACCTGCTCACGCTGCTTATTTTCTACCCTGAAGATGGAGGCGATACGTTCCTCCGAAACGTAGGTTAACACAATATCTAAATGATGACACATCCCAGAAGACTGCTTTTTTCATATTCAACACTCTTCCATTCTACATAATTCAGGTCCTCTGCATACTTTTATCTATGTCTAGGTCTTCTTAGTGGTTTATTTCCTTCAGATATTCCTACCAAAATAATGTACGCACTTTTTTGCCATGCACACTGCATACACTGCCCATCCCCTCTTCTTTGATTCAATCATTCTAACATTATTTAGTGAAGAGTACAAATTATGAAGTTCCATATCATGCATCTTTCTCAAGCTTTGTATACTTCCTCTCTCTGAAGTCAAAATTTTCTCCTGAGCACTGTTCTAACACTCTAACTCTATGTTCTTCCCCTTATGTGAGAGACCAAGTCTCGCACTCACACAAAACTACAGGAAAAATTACAGTTTTGTATGTTTCAATCTTTATGTTTTTAAACAACAGGCAAGATGACAAAAAAATATTGAACTGAATGGCAGCAAGTATTCCTTGAATTTAATCTCCTAACTTCTTTACTAATTCAGTTTTGATTTGTTATCATCATTCCCAAACACTGTAACTTCATCATACTTTTAAAGGATCCACCAGCTACCTTCATGCTACTGTTTTGTTCTGCATTCAGGTGATGTGATATCTACAAACACTGTATTTAGTTTGCTCTGTGCTTATAATTTAACACATACAACTGAAAAGAACATGCCAGAGTTCTAAGCATTCATGCATTAACAAGTGACAAAAGTATCTTAAAACTTCATCACCACGGCCCACAGCAACCTCAGTTCGATCCCAAGCCAGGTCACCTTGGATTTATAGTGGACAAAGTGAAACTTGAGCGGGTTTTCTCCAGGTAATTCAGTTTCCCCTGCAAATATCATTCCACCAACTGCTCCATATTCATTAATCATACCACCCAATGCTATATAGTCTCAATACCAACACCATCATTAAATAGCCAACTTAAAGAAACTTTACCACCATGATGCTGCCACATTAATACTTCCAACTGTGGATTCTTATTTGCAGAAAGAAATCCCAAAGCCTAACCTTAGAAGATTTGCTTTATAAACACATATTTCTAAATATGAAATCAAATGCCTAAAGGTAAAGGTAAAGGTAAAGCTTGTCTTATGCTTAATCAACTATGCACTACGCCATGAAGTTGTACAGGGAAGTGGAAGTGGAGGTATAACTTCATCATTCTTCACCTTGGCACTAGGTGAAGGTGAGTGGTCAGCTTCATGCCATGGCCGCATTACCCCCACCCTCCTGGGAAAAAGTCACTGGTATCCTTTGGATAGGTTGCTGGGTGGACCCAAGAGCCAGTCTTGGCACTGTAGAGAAAAGAAAACTCTCCTATCCCTGACAGGAATCAAACCACAGCCATCCAGATAGTAGCCCATGACTATATAAACTGAGCTATTCCAGCTTCTTCCAGCCTAACCACTCAAACATAAACTAAATGCCTGATGTTCTGAAAACAAACACAAAAGCCTAACCATGTAGACTTGTTAGAGACAAATTTTAGTGTTAGGTTTCAGGTTTCGTTTTTGCAAATAATATTCTAGGACTGGCAGTGCTAACATGGCAGGCCTTTAAGAATTATCTGTTTCATCCACTAATGCACAAGAACCTACAGTGACAACAAAGGAAGGGAAATACAACTTATTATTTTCCAAATCACCTTTCTTTGTGATGTCTGAAGTTATCATGACAGTGACAATGAGGTGTACTGTCTTCTAGGATGTGACACCGTGTAGCCTGGTAGAAGCTGACTAATATTTTGGAGGAATGTACTGCATCCATCTTCAGGGCCTGCTTGCTTTGCTGCTTGCTGTTTACTTCTTGCCCAACTTTTTGACCATGAAGGTGGAAGCAATATATTCCTCAGAAAAACAGGTAAACTTAACCTGATTACATACCATTCACCAGAGGTTAGTACTTACAGTACAAGAACTGAAACGTTAAATGTCACTCACAGCAAAATCTACAACAAACATGATAATATAACGAATCTCAACATATCCCTCCAATCTCCTCCTATCCAAGTGTTTTCCCCATCACCACACATTTCCTGTGTGCTTGACCAGTCCTTATGGTTTCGCTATTCTAACAAATTCTAAGGTTGGGTTTTGGGTCTTCCTTTTACAAATAAACTGAAGTCCATGGTGCCAATGTAGCAAACAACTTTTAAACTACTGTGACCATTCATCCATGGTTTTTGGTCCCAAATATAAAACTTATGTCCTCGACTGAATTTTCCCCCCAACTTGTTAAATAAATTAATACAATTTGAAAAACAGGGAACCTGGATAGCTGTCAATATAGGGACAAGCTATGGTGCAGCCAATCAACTGAGACTGACCAATTACAAAGTAACTGAACTGTTCTAGACCCACTAAGTCTCAGAAAATCTGGTAGCAACAAGAATCAAACCCAGACCCTCTGGATCTGTACTCTGACTACTAGACGACAGCGGCAAATATTGCCACAGCCTTTGTTATGTGCTCTCTCATTCATGAAAGTCATGATGCAATATGGAATAAAAATTCTGAAAAAATAAGTGGGTTGAAATTTTAAGAAATTATTTTTGATATATATTAATGATTTCCCAAATATAATAAATAAAGAATCAAAACCAATTTTATTCGCTGATGACACCAGCATACTGTGCTGCCCGGTCAAATCTTAAAAGAACTTGACATCACCCTAAAAGAAACTCTTGAATCAATCAATAAATGGTTCTCTATAAACTCGCTAATTTTGAATTTAACTAAAACGAGTTGTGTCCAGTTTTTAACAAAACCAAATGTACTAATAAACTTAAATATTAAACATGGTGATATCCAAATTAATAATATGAATATTTTGGAATTCCTTGGACTGAAAATTGATAGTACGTTAACATGGAAGAAACATATTAAACAAACAGCCAGCAAATTCAGCTCGGCTTGTTATGCTATAAGAGTTCTGGTCTCAATATTGTCCCTAGAGAGCTTATTGATCATGTATAATGCCTATGTTCATACTATAATGTCGTATGGCATAATATTCTGGGGAAATTGAATGTACAGTACCCAAACCTTTAAAATTCAAAAAAAGAATAATTAGGGTAATGATGAAAGCAGGAAATAGGGACACTTGTCAGCCTCTGATTAAAATATTAAACATTCTTCCATTTTATTCACAGTATATATTTTCAATATTGGTCTTCATAGTTAAAAACATAGACAAGTATGTAGCAAATTAAGATATTCATAACATTTATACTAGACAAAGATTTGAATTACATTATCCAACTTATAAATCAACCAGGGCTCAAAACTGAGTATCTTATGCTGGGATTAGAATATTTAATAAATTACCACATAGTATAAAAAATTTATCACAAGACTTAAATAAATTCAAATATTCTCTTAAAAAATTTTTGCAGACAGACTCTTTTTATTTTTTAGATGAGTATTATAAATGGAAAACAAGGGATGATTGTGTTAATTACAGATAAATAAAACAACGCTAATCATTATTAAAAACTTTTATAGTATGATACCTATAATTCTCTAAATGTGCTTTTTCTCTATTATAGCCAATGTTAATATGTATGTTATTATGATAATAAGTTGCAATGCAAGTGTTATATGCATGTTGTATTTAATTATAACATTGTACTTCTGGGTTAGAATTGTAAGATGGAAAAAAAAGGGGGGTGGATATTGATGCGATTTGTATTTCAGTGTGGCACATGGAGCATAGTGCTGACGATGACAGTAAATTTACTTGTATCAGTAGTTATTGAAACAATGTTTGTATATAAGATGTAATATCTTTATGACGTCCTCTGCATTGATTTTAAAGTAACTTGGGCTTTGACGTCTTCTATATCTGTAGGCACCATCACCAAATGTAGATCCAATTACTATGCCTACCTTGCTGTTAAAACTTCAGCAATCAGCTGCAAACAGATTTAAGCCTAACGGTCCATAAATCTGCTGTTACTATCATTCTGAGCAGATGAGACATGTGACACAAATCTGTTTATGTATTTTATGATTCATACCTTGTGTTACCTCTTTATTGATGACAATACCACGATGATCTCCACCAGCAACATGTACTTTGGTCTTGTCGGTTCCTACTTCGTGTAGAACAGCCCTTCTCTCAATAGCAAGAGTTGTTGAGCAAGATGTCTTGCATTTAGGAGTCATAACAATGTGATCTGTTTCCACAAAATTTAAGAAATATGGGTAAGCTTATGGGAAATATTAGAACTGAAACTACGTATTATCTAGAACAAGACTTTATTATTTTTAAACTACTACAGAAAATAAAACAAACCTCTCTGCGGTTCATTCATCCTAGAGCTTGTAGTTTTTATGTATGTAAAAAGCACAAGTATTATTAATATACGGCTGCTACTCACAGAAAAATAATTTAACCGAAACAATTCTATTCGTTTACAGTAGTAATATCATTATTGATTGGGGAAAACTGGAACCAGGTACGGCACATCACAAGCCATTCCATCACATCGCCTGTACAACTGAGCCAATATAACCAAAAGGAACATGACAAACATGATTACTATGTGTAAAACGTCATACCCAACGTACCCAACCTCGCCTATTCCATACCGTTCCCACACCATACGTAGTAGGGGTAGTAGGCTATGCTTTCCCTACCGTTGCCTACCACGGATGATATACACACGTCATAGTAGATTCTGCTCATCTGTACTTCGTAGTTTTCCGCAAGGAAAAATATGCGCAAAAGTCTAAAGTGTCTAAAGCAAGCGTAATAAAAGTACGTGATTATAATAGGCACAGAAGCTTGAAAGTGACAAACCGGTAAACGACAGAGCTTACGAAGAATGGATTTTTACGTGGCATTACGTCATTGACATGCTGCAGTGCAATCATATTAACTGTTCATCCGTAAACCCATTACAACTTGTAAAATTTGAGGCTTTCACAGCGGTGACTATGAAGAAAGCAGTCTTCTGGGATTTGGCACCGTGTATATGTGGTGTTAACAGACGTTTCGGAGGAACGTATTGCCTCCATCTTCAGGGTAGAAAGAAAAATGTTAGAAATCCGCAAGCGAAGAGATCGTGAGAACCGGTAAAAGCAGTCTGCTTCTTATATTTTTCCTTCTACCCTGAAGATGGAGGCGATACGTTCCTCCGAAACGTCGGTTAACACCGCATATACACGGTGCCAAATCCCAGAAGACTGCTTTCTCCATTAAAACTTGGTCGTGGGGCGTGAGAGTAAATAATTTATACATTGCAAGTCTATTATTGGATGGCTGATAAATTCCAAAACTGCCAACACACATACAAGAAAATCAGACCAAGTAAACTTGGTACGCTTGGTACCTAGTGACCGCTAGTGACGCTACTGCTCAAGATTTCGGAACTAAATATTTCTCTGCAACTCATTACGTAATGGAAATTTATAATTCACTGCTTACATGCATGCAGTTTAAGCCGAAGATTAACTATGGGCTCTTGTGAGGCCACATCTGAGCTTACGCCGAACTTCGTGTGAACCTGAAATATATTTGTTACATTAATTTTTTGGACATAACCTTGTAATTTTACTCACATTTGCAATGTCGAAATCCAAAGTTTCACACAGAATTTGTGGTAGGATATAATCCACATCGAACGTTGTCTTAATCTGCTTTCGCCATGAAACCGGAAGCTTATTACATTTCATGCAGCTTCCATTTTGGGTTATGTATTAATGCTAAATGTAGAGCTAGCCCTGTAACAGGCCGTGAAGGCCCATGCGATCGTGAGACATCGAGGCCTCCACATTTTACAGATTGTGGTAAGGTTATTGGCCTTACAAATCAGCCACCCCAGCACTAATTTCTCTTGGAGGCTGGGCGAACCGCAGGGTCATAGAGCAGCTGGAAAGATTGGGTAAACTGAAAAAAAACAATCCATCAGAATTCGAACCAGCGGCCTTCTTCTGGCTTGTAGCATAGTGCCTTAACTGACCCTACCATGTGACAAAACTGTTACCATATGAATTATGATAACTGACACATCAAGGGTCACTTCTGCTGCACCCACTCATTTGCAAGTGTCCCAACTATCAAATTAACAAATAGCTTTCACTGGTCTCAAATGTAAAAGTTCACACAAAAATCTTTTGAATCAAACTGCTTCAGAAGGGAAATGGGTGCAAAGGATCAGAATATAAACTATTTTTTATAAGCAGGTGTAACACTACATGAAAATTCATGTTAAGAAATCTACACACGCACATGGTGCAAAGTTTGAGCATGAACTGTCCTGCCACTAGTAAAATACTTTGCTTAAACCGTTCACTTGTGCGCTTGATCGTCTATAAGTAACCTATGTTCAGAGCAAAGTTGGAGATGCAAAGAACTCGGATGGTTATACTTGGAAACCATCCACAATAGAAAAGTTCACAAATTAGTGCTTACAAATTCAGTTACACAGGAAAATTCATCCCATCATTTATTCTCAATGGTAAGTTGCTTGGTGCATGGGTTTAAAAAAATCACAAAAATAAAATGTTCTATAAATTCAAAGTTTTATTAAAACAAGCTTGAATGTGGGCCTCCAGAAGTTCTGCTGTACCTGTACACGACTCCACCACCTCAGTCAACAGAAGTACACTACATCACACTCCGTGCTTGGTAAGTCCTGATGGCGCATAAAAAAAACGTGTGGGGGAAAAATAAATTTCCAGTCTCTTCATAAGGGATGCAGTCTTCAATGCAGCACATTCCATGCAAATAAAAACATACTTCCCAACATGAGGATTCATAAACTTTTATCATCCAGGAACAGGGGGGGGATTAATTTCCCAGTCATTCAGCATAGACAGCTGGATTTTAATTTGGCAGAAATGGTATCTACAGTAAACTTCCAGTTATCTGCTAACCAAACATCATGAATTTTCATGCAACTCGCAAAACTTTCAAACGAAAAGTTTACCATTTCCTAAGGGTACTTCAAAAACAAAGCTGCAATGCAAAACGTGTTTGCCCACCACACTTAGTTCCCCTGGCAACAACTCAAGAGCTGCTAGTCATCCTTCACACAAGTCACATTACATATAGATGCATGACAGCAGACATTAAATGAATTTGTGATAGTGTTAGTATATTTGAAATCTTCCATCCATCAATTCAGTATATCTCCCAAGAAACATCCAGCCAAGAACTAAAGGAAAAACATGTTCTGATTATAAAAGAGAAAATGGAACATTAAAGATCGGAAAGGGCCGTAAACTTGTGTTCCGTAAGCATTTTATTCATTCAGCCGACACACCCCATTTTCCATACATGCTGGATAACAGGAAGTTTACTGTATACTGAAAACAAGGTAATGCTGAGCCTGCTGGACCTGTGCATGCACCCTCATAATGTGATGCATGGATGATTGATGTTAACAGAACTGAACCATCCACAAAATATTTTCTGGTTAAACAAATTTCAGCACTACTACTCCTCACCTAAATGAAACATTAACACCATTCACAAAATGCTACTATTAAGTCGTCATATTCAGTTACGCTAAATTTGGGGGGGAACCCCTCCCCACAGCACATTAAATATTCAAATTAAAATTACTATCAAAACTTGAATTGATAAAATCACTGCAAAGAGAAAATTTACACTGCATAACAGTGAATATGAAAATTACATAATATGCCTAAAAATCACTCCTGGCCAAACATAATTACACTTCCAGCACAGCCCAGCTGTTTAACCTATAGTTAACTATATTCTGTACATGCCATGGACTCACTTCAACTGTAACATAATTCACTTCTTGGTCATTTGATTCTAACTCCCCACCCCTTCATTGACTGAACTGTTAACACGTCAACAAAATGACTCCATACATGAGACAGACATAAAAATGAAAATTAACTGCACCTCAATCTCTATTCATTTATTTAAAATATTATATGCTAAACAGGTAAACATAGGAAGAAAATTGGTATCAGGAATCATTTTACACTTACAAACTTATTTTCAAACTTCATATAAATTAGTCTTGGACACGCAGACTGGCTCAACGAAGTCGTGATTATGTGACACCACATTATCACAAACCTTCATTACACACAAACAAGTTTACAAATTTTCAACCTATGTCTCTGTTAAACTTTTATCTTTTATGGTGTATACTCCTCTCTCTTACATATGGGAAAAATAAGGAAAGAAAACAATTCACTATTAATCAGACAATGGGATCGAAATGAAGCAAACATGATGCTTGATAAAAACTCACTTTAACAACAGAAATGACAGACGAAACTATGTACCAGCATTTTCATTCAGGAGACTGCTGGTTTAAAAGCCACATTCCAACAGTTCATCATAATATACTTATTTGTTTTTGTTACAAAAGATTCTAGACAATTTGTACTTTTCATGGCCATTCAGATGCTAAACGTATTGTTTTGTCAGAATGAACTGCAGGAATAGGAGTCCTTTACATACAAAGACAACGAGTCATGTCTTAAGACATTTCCCATCTACATGGGGGAAAAAACATCTCTTTAAAATCCCCTGCAGATAGAATGACCAATTCCAGGTCATACCAACTGTCTAATCTCATTCCTGACCTGATAAGGCATCTTGAACCCAACATGGTACTGGTTTCTTTGTATTGTCCTCAATCCAGACCATTCCATCCTTCACTTATGATCTACAACTTCTTAAAACAATTAAGTTGCTAATGTTAATAGTTTTAAATGTGCTAGAGTACAAGTGCAAAGAATATTTATATATAATATACAGGGCGTTTCACGACTTTACGGCATAACTGCAGGAGGTGATTTCCTAGGTCTTTGTGATCAAAAAAGTTCATATAAATACATCTCCGATTTTGGACGGTTACGGAGTTATGACCGCTTTTTCATTCCCGTACATGCCCTCGTATGAACCGCGTGTCAGTTGGCAGGTCACTATTTTTAGCCAGCTACAGACAGAGCGTTCTCGTTATTTCGACACTTGAGAGTGGGGTGGGATGGTATGTCCGGCGCGGTTCATGACTGAGCAGCAGCCTGTGTTGTGGCCAGCGGTGACATTTTCGAAAATCAGCTTTAAGCACCAATCATTCAAATTAAAGGCAATTTCACGAAGTTAACTTTATATTCATACTTTAAATGTATCATGTATTTATACTGGTTTATTACTTTGTTCGTTTATTGTCAGTAATTGTTACCTTCTATTCTGAGTTTAAAACGGTCATAACTACGTAACTGTCCAAAATCGGACACATGTTTATATGAACTTTTTTGATCACAAAGACCTAGGAAATCACCTCCTGCAGTTATGCCCTAAAGTCGTGAAACACCCTGTGTGTATATATATATAATATAGTTAATAATGCTTTGAGATTTTCCTGTACAAAAAAGATGTTTCCATCCTTTGTTCAAGTTACAATGGTCAGGTATGGCTAGGCAGGCCAGTCAGGTAGATGACAGGCTGGCCAACCAGCCATCTGTTCACCCGATGAACAAGTTGGCATCCAAATCACAGAGGGGACAAGGAGAGGGGTGGCACAGTGACTGAACTTGAGCCACACTCCTGATGCCAATTCAAATGCGATGAGAAGACAAACAATGGCCATGCTGCCACAATCCAGGGCACACAAGATTGATCAACCAACAAAACCTAACCAGCCACACTCGCGTGTATTTTTAGTTGTCGAGGCAGGGCGGACTGCTCAATGAATTCACCCACTATAACAAAAACAAGTCAACATTGTAGGCAGGCCTGTGCATACTGTGCTCGGTCTGTTAGGTTCGAGAGCATCACAGTGCTGTAACACTTCCTGCTGCCTGCCCACTTTAGTTGCCCTCGCCATCCTCGTGCTTTCTCTTCTTCCCTCGTGCCGCTGACTCTGCAACAAGTATTTCCATTAAACATTTCCACTGAACATACCATACTGTTCACATATAGGGGGCCATTTTATATTGGATAAACACTCTGAACAATGCAACCATTCTAAATGCAGAAGTAATAAACCTAGACTGCCCAGTACTGGGAAAGACTCATATTTTGCAGATGTATTTCATTTTCCTAATCCTTCCAGCTGCACTGTTGCCCTGGGGTCATCTCAGCATCTTAACAGAAATGGGTATCAGGAATCATCCTGGGGGTTAATGGTGGCCAGCGCATAAGGATGACGACCTCATTGCCATCTGTGAGCCGACTGTCTAGAGAAAATGTGAGCGCCTCAACGTCTCACAACCCTATGGGCCTTCATGGCTTCTTACAGGAATAGCTTTTACCTTTACCTATACAACATATTTACTCATGCCATGTGTCCTCATGTATGACAAAGCCCATTTTCATAAGCATAATAGATGGGCAGAAAATGACAATGAAGAACCAAGAAAAAAAATACAAAAATATACCCGAATACCATAAAATTCCAATTTAATGCTCCTGCATTCATGAATATTCTTTCTCATCCAAGCCAAAGATCAGTGCATCATTTTCCCATACTGCAGAACTACAAGTACTTTTGCTGTGTGAAGAACTGATATCATATTAACCAGCCATATGTCTCAGAAACTGAGTACATTTTGCCTCCATCAGAAATGTAGCTCCTTTTACCAAAGCCAAAATGTTGTGCCTGTTTCAGCAATTCTACTACGATTTGCTGTTGTGCCTATTATCTGTAAAAGTTCTGGAATCATAAATGTTCCATATAGTTGGTGAAGTTGCAGTTATCTTGGAATGTGAGCTACACTGGAAGTGCTAAATCTACTATTCATCATCATCATCAGTAATCTGTCAAGACGACAGGTCCACAGTCTCTTCCAAAACAATTCCTCCACTTAATGCGATCTAGAGCTTTCTCCTTCAAATGACAGTATCCTCTTCTGTCCCCAAGGTCATCCAGCATCTTCTTACGTCTTCTTCCTCGTCTTCTTGTCACTTCTATCCGCCCATCTATCTTTCCTTCGATAGCTTCTTTTAGAAGGCAGTTTCTGCGTAAAACATGACCAATCCAATTAGCCTTCCGTTTTCTTATTTCATGTAGGATATTCCTCTGCTCACTGACTCTAATTAACACTTCTTCATTTCTCACATAATCGGTCCAACTGATCTTCTCCATTCTTCTCCAACACCACATTTCGAAACTTTCCAGATGTTTCTGATCTACTGCCCTAAGTGTCCATGTTTCAGCCCCATACAGAGCTATGCTCCAAATGTAGCATTTCACTAGTTTCTTCCTCAAATTTAAGTCCAATTTGCTGGTAAAAAGATTCTTCTTCTTGCTAAATGCAGCTTTTGCCATGGCAATCCTGGATTTAATTTCACAAGTACACCTTCCATCATAAATCTACTATTAGCCAGTCTCAAATCAACAATGGCAGTACTAAGGCCTCTCCAATAAATATACATTATATTGATTGCTGGTGCTAAACATGTCAAAGGTACCCCTGAGAAAGAACCTACAGCAAGAAACCTCACCAATTAAAAGTCACAGCAAGTGCAAAATAAGACAACGGTACCATCTCATGTGTTGCCTGTAGTTTCTCATCCACAGTTAACAAACTCAACTTTCTACTCTCTCAGCATGTGTACAGTAACTACTACAAATATCCTCTTTACAATTGTATTTATATTAGTGATTTTTGCTTAGGTAACCGCTGTGGCAACGACAGCACAAGTTAAACATGCTGCAACTTGCATTTAATACTCCTCAATGAAGGAAAGCCCTCACATAATGTTCAACTTGAAAGAACTAAAGTTAGTAACCTCACTGTTAGATCACTCCATTTTAGATTCTCCTCAGTTTAGAGTTCAAACCCAGTTATCCTACACTGGGGTTTAACTGTTCCTGTCTACTACTGTCAGCACATTCCTACATGCATCAAACATTATCACACTGAATTAATTATCGATATTCGAATGCTTAACTACCTGCTACACATCCTGTTATGATATGACCCATTTTTCTTAATGCCAATTTCAGATAAAATGTGCACATACATTAGTGTTGGTACTATCACAATTCTGTTTAACCCCTGAATCAATTCACGTTACTGTAATACAATTTTAAAATATTAAATTCATAATATTAATTTTAAAACTAGAACACATGCAAGCTAAGAATAATTGTCAATATACATTCATATCTTAGTTCCATTTATACATCCTCCTTCAACCTCTCTGAAAAAAAAAAAACTGTCTTCACATTATGTTCTGTAATGTAATTTACCATATTCCAAATAAAACCATTTAATTTCCATCACCAAAAATGTCACACGCTTTATAAAGGTCCAACATATTTCAGCCCCTATAGGGTCATCTTCCTCAGTATTCCAACTACTGCCTTTAGCTCAGCGAAATAACTGTTACATGTCTTGAAACGTGAAGGCAAAAATTAGAAAAAGGATGTCCAGGGACGATTTATATAAAAAATCCCTATGCTTAACTAATAAAGCATTATGATATCAATGCATATGGGGAAGTAGATGTAAAGATCCACATTTCCTTTACCTTGGTTCTAGCTGGAGGTGAGTGGTCAGCTTCATGCCCCAGCTGCTTCACTGTCTCCACCCCCCCCATACCCACTGAATAGGAGAATGGGTGGGCCCCAGAACTAGTCTGGATGCTGCGAATAGAAAATTCTTGAACCTATTGGGACTTGAACTGACCCACCATTAAGCCCATAGCCTTTATGCTTAAGAATAAATAAAATGTATCCTTGAAGATAAAATTACGGGGCATGAAATATTTTGTGCATTTAATGGGTACAACACTGGTACATATTTGTAATTTGATGGCTACATTTCTAAACACAGCACAATTTGAATGTTATGCTTATACTTGAATTTTCAATCTGATCTTATTTCCCCCCATCCCTTTCCTTGGAATATAACTGGTGATACTTTGTAATTTTAAAGCATAAGGGGCTCTCAGCAACCCCCAAAAAATTCCATCCACCAATATGAATGCCATAACCTTATATGTTTCTACCAATGGACTAGCTCATTGCAGTATCACACTTCTGTCAACAAAGGGCATCAACTCTTGATGTGCTGACATCAGCGGAAAGAACTGCTTTCACATAAAATACTCACCATTTGTAGGTCATTTATGGAAACTGATAACAAGTTCATCTACAGGTTAACTAACACTCTCTACCGGTATCTGGGAGATCAATCCAAAACTCACCTGGGGCACCAGATATACCAACTGCGATTTTACATGATATTCCTCGGCCCCTACAGGTAAATGCTAAGATAGTACCTCACCAAATCTTTTCCAATTCCCCAAACCAAACTGACAAAGTACTGCGCTTTTCTGTGCAGCTGTATTTGCACCCAAACAGCCCTGACACTGCTAGTGGGTAGAACTATGTCGGATCTGGGAAGTATTACTGAAAAGCAATGAGACGGTGTTTTCCTGCTCTGCCAGGGTACTATCACTGTGTTGCTTTATAACAAATGATCTGTGACCTAGAATGCATACAGTGAGAAAACAGAAGCCACCCACCATCCACTCCATCTTCATCTTCAACTTCTTCCTCTTCTCCCACAAGTTCATCTTCATCCTCCTCGTCTTCCACACCCTCTCCTTCATAGTCCTCGCCCTCACTTTCCTCCTGTAAAGAACAGTTAGAACTTCATTTCCCTTCAACACTTGGCAAAGCTGAGACATGCAGCAGTTGGTTGAAGCACTATGCTACAAGTCAGAAGGTCACACTCTCTCTCCCTGGGGGTAAATGGCAGCCAGCATGTGAGGTTGAGAACCTCACCACCATCTGCGAGCCTGGACATCTCACAACTCTATGGGCCTCCATAGCTTGTTACAGAGATACCTTTACCCTTCTTTTTCTCTTCCCCCCCCCAAATAAAGCTATATTTACTCAAGTTTAACCCTTTAAAGCATAGCGCTACAGTAAAAGTTGCAATATCTGGCACCGAAGGGTTGCTGGATATGGTAATTTTCTGGATATTATGTTATACCTAATGTGCACATCTCAGTGTACCTCATGGACAGGCCTATCTATCTGATACCTGATAACCACCGTTTTCCCCACACTTTCTATTCCCTTTTCTTCACCATTTACATAACATGGTGTATATATATATATATATATAATTATATATATATATATACACCATGTTATGTAAATGGTGTTATATATATAAATGGTATATAGATTATAATCTATATCTATAATCTAAATCAGTCAGCCTATATAGTAGTCCCAATTTCCATCAGCCAATTCACACAGAAGAAAGAATCTTCCAGCATGTCCCTCCAATCATGTATGTCAGTGTGTTCAGAGGCATGTCAGCAGCTATAGTTATATGCATCTGGATAAAAGTAAATTAAAAAAAAAGAGAGAACCGTCACTAAACTCAAAGTTTAATAGAACAAAATTAAACACTTATCAAACTGCATAAGTCAGAGCAAAACATGCAAAGGTGTAAAAACAAATTAATATAAATGTCTGGTTGTAGGTAAACATTTGTCTGATAAGTTTCCTATCCAGAAGGGTCTAAAACAAGGAAATGCTTTATCGACAATCCTTTTCAACTTTGACTTAGAATATGCAATTAGGAAGGTCCAGGGGAACCAGGTGGGACTGAAATTAAACGAGACACATCAGCTGTTGGCCTATGCTGATGATGTGATTCTACTGGGTGATAATGTAGATACCATAAAGAAAAACACACAAACTTTAATTTGACGCAAGTAAAGAGGTTGGTCTAGAAGTAAACGCAGAGAAAACTAAGTATATGTTACTGTCTCGTCACCAAAATGCAGGGCAAAATCATGATATGAAGAGAGGAAACAGATGTTTTGAAAATGTGGCACAGTTCAGATATTTGGGAACAACGATAACAGATCGAAGCCTAATTCAGGAGGAAATTAAGAGGCGACTGAACTCTGGTAATGCTTGCTACCATTCAGTCCAGAACCTTTTGTCTTCTCATCTGTTGTCCAAAAACATAATTAGAATGTACAAAACTATAATTTTGCCTGTGGTTCTGTATGGGTGTGAAACTTGGTCTCTGACATTAAGAGAGGAACAAACTGAGGGTGTTTGAGAACAGGGTGTTGAGGAGAATATTTTGACCGAAGAGAGATGAAGTGACAGGAGGTTGGAGAAAACTGCATAATGAGGAGCTTCATAACTTGTACTCTTCTCCAAGTACATATAATTACAATGATGAAGTCAAGGAGGATGAGATGGGCAGCACGAATGTGGAGGATTGCATATAGGATATTGGTGGGAAAGTGAGACAGAAAGAGACCACTTGGAAGACCAAGACATAGGTGGGTGAACAATATTAAAATGGATCTGAGAGAGATAGGATGGGGTGGTATGGATTGGACAGATCTGGCTCAGGATAGGGACCAGTGGAGGGCTCTTGCGAACACTGTAATGAACCTTCAGGTTCCATAAAATGCTGGGAAATTCTTGAGTAGCTGCAGAATTGGCGGCTCCTCCAGAATGGCTCAGCTCCATAAGTAAGTACGTCTGGTTGTAAGTATAAAGAGCCAGTGAGTTCTATTAAAAAAAACGAGAATAAGGATTACTGTTAACAGCAGACCTCTACCTCTAATCATGTCCCACCTTAACAATAACGGATAAAAACATGTCTTGCATATTCAAGTCATGCAGCAAGGAGTGACCACCAAGCATGTCCAAATAAATAACCAGATCACTCAACCCCCACTAGATATATTCCTAGTACCTACATTATATCTATAAGGTAAGGAATATTCTAGCCAAGGTTTTCTCTACATTGAGCACTATAGGTAATACCTCAAGATGTTCTTTGTAGACAGCATCTAGACCTACATCTTCATCATCCAAGTCTTCATCATCATCTTCGTCTTCTTCATCCTCGAGACCCTCCTCGTCATCATCTACAACCAATCGAATAATGTACTGCCTTTAAAGAAGGAACATAAACATCAGACCAGATCTTTCATTTCTTCAACTTACAGGGGTATACTACTGCAATCACAGTAATGCAATAAACTTAAATCAGCATAACAATACCTAGCCCCAGTTCCTTTCAGAGCATTTACCAAATCCCTCTAGATCACCCTAAAATGTATAGGTTAGCAAACAGGCACAAAGCATAATAATTCTGGTGTTTCATCTTTAATTATGTGTGTGTGTGTGTGGGGGGGGGGAGCCTTCCAGAGAAAATGTAATAGGCATAAAATGGATTATGGATTTGTTCGAAACACTCTTTGCTGCAATAAATATTTAGCAAATTACAATAAAGATGAGGACAGAAATGCATGCAAATCTTCATGAAACTGTTCATTACTTTTATCCACTTTTGATGGGAACTAATCGTAAATAAGTTACCAGATTTCATGTGAACTCCATCAACAGTACTTGAATTGCTGTATGTGAACAGAAGAAGTGAAGTCATTCATACAGTCTTTCAGATTTTCACTGAGAAAGTATTAAAAATTACAAATTAAGGCTGTGCACATAGTAACATTTCAGGGTCAAAATCTGACTTCAAAGCAGATGAGTGCTTCAAGGTTTGGATTTAATTTCATCCACACAGCCTACACAAAAGCACTCTTTACTGCACACGTGAAACCAAGTACACGTGAAACTGTCATATTTCTCAGCAGAATGTTCCTTTTAAATGTCCGCAATTTTCTCAAAACCAGTCTCTTCTCTACAGCATATGACAAAAAGTTTGTCTCGAAACATCTTCTGGATGTTGTAATTATCCCTATACTTAATTAAATACCACACCATGAAGACACATGTGGGAGTGGAGGCATAGCTCCACCATTCTTGACCTCAGCATTAGACAGAGGTGAGTGGTCAGCTACATGCCCCAGCCTCTTTAACCACAATCCCATGGAGAAATCACCCCTAATATCCACTGTATAGGAGGGTGTTATGGGCCCCTGAGCCAGACTCAACATTGCAGAGAGGAGAAAAATCTTGCCTTGGCGAGAATCGCACAGAGGCCATTCAGTTGTATGCTCTAAGACTTTACATTTTTAAAAATTTACACTTATCTACACAAGTTACTTCATAAGCCATGCTCCTGAGTTTCCTTCAACCTCTCACTTCTCATCTGGCAGAATCAGGTTTACACATTCTTACCTTCGCTTTCATTCCCGTTTACTTCATCATCTTCTACTTCACTATCTTCGGCTTCTCTGTCCTCCATGTCAAACCTGAAACAAATGTAAACACTAAGATTTAAACCCGCAAAACATCTGACATACTGAACTTAACTGATGCAACTGAGCTCCCTTAGTTTCAGACCTCCACCTGGGATAAAGAATGGCACAGGTGTCCCCTAGTTCTTAATACGACAATCCTTCTTATGGTTGCGTTTTCTAAAGATTAAAAACGCACTGCATCATAGCAAAACCAACGAGAGGCCAGGAGATTTTCACATTTCCTGTTTTGCATTAACTTTCACTCACTCATGATAATATTCTTCACATAAACCATGTGAGCAATATACCCGTGACTGCTGACTAGCACAAATTACTTCACAGAACTGAGCTGCTGTTGACTGCTGAACTGTCTGAAAGTAGCAGTGGTACAACAACAGGGTTCTCATGGCATATTACATGCTTCAGTAGGCCACATATCATAATGAAGGGAAATGTATGCATGCCCATGAGATTGTAATGACAGGAGTGACATTAAGTAGAGTAAAAATATGCCTTCTCTGCCTGTAGAACTACAACTTATGAAAACATGAAAAAAATACAGAGCCCAAATTCAAAAGCTAGTGAAATTCCTACAACCTACATTCATTAAACTTCAATTATCTACATTTAATGACCCAACTCTAACATTAAACATTATTAACATGACAAGCTCACAATAAATCTGCCAAGCATAACTAGTGTTCCAGAAAACAGACAGGGCTTACTGAAGCCCCATCTAATGGTGAATGTGTAAATAGAAAGCGGTTATGTATTTCCACTCATGACTTTCATAGAAAAAAAAACTAAACATTTAAATTCAAGTCTTAAATATATGGAAGCATTTGCCTCCCAAAAAATGACAAATCATTTTAATTCTTCAGAGCAAAAACTCAACCATCTAATTGGGAAACATTCTGAACACAGACTCAGGAAGGAAGGATGCATTATATCCCAGAATATAAAATTCTTCACGACCACTGCTATGAGATCCTGAAAACCTGCACAGATACAGTTTGTACTATGAAAAATGATGTTCTCACCCATCCAAATATTTCAGACTGGGTATAAGGTGGAAGACCTTCTCTCGGTAATTGTCAATTGACGTTGCTTCGTTGTTGAACAGGTCCAAATTCTTTAAATTCTTGAATTCCTTCTGCAAAATAAAAGTTAAAACTTACATTCACAGGAATTTATACCATGCCATTTCAAAAACAATCACTCAAACTTCATATCACATTTGTTGAATGCACATGGAAACATCCAGAAAAGTCTCTCATCTTATATATCTTATTAACTTTACCACAGCAATTTAATCTCTCATCCAAATGTTTGTGCATAAGTCTGACACACAAAACCTGTTAACCAATGGGGTACAGTATCTCCCAATATAATCCCACCTACAGTGAAACCCAAATATTAGGGATTCTCTTTGCTAGTAGTGGATCTGAACATTAAACTAAGGAAAGTCTTAAATGGAGATAATTTAATATTACAATTAACACTGAATCATAAGAAGTTAACATTAAACGAAGGTTCCACTGTAAACATATCTCAATGCACAATTTTCCATCATTTAGTGCACCAAATTTATTGCTCAAGTCCTATTACAACACTGCCCCACTTCCTCCAGTTAGTTTTTCATGTTACTGAACAAGACATCTTATGTTTCAAGCAGGTAAAAGGCAGCTGTAAATACAACAGTATTTTCCAGTCTATGGCCACCTTTCTCCTTCCCAAACAAGTTAGGAACTCAATGGACAGCACATACGCTATCCATGCAGTAAGGATCTGTCCACATGTACTTGGCAGGGACTCCACATTCTTGAAGCACCTTGCCTTCTCTGACTTTCCACTTATCAGCAATGGCATCCTTTTCAGATCCATCCATATTTGCACATACAAGCAGAGTAATTCCATTCTTACTCCTCTTGCCCCCATGACAGCTTCATCTTTGGAAGGATATTTTTCAGGACCTGGCTGAAGGACAACCCATTCATCTGCACTGAATATATCCCAAGGATGGTATTCCCTCAGGTGACAGAAGCACTTCCAGACACCTACTGCCTCTTTAGTTACACTTTTGGATGCCCCACTCATGCTTCTGCCGCTATGCCAAATAACATTTTTCTTGAATCAAATGCTTACCTTTATGACTTCAGCCTTCTACCTCAACACTGCACCTAGAACTGGGACACATAATGCCTGTCTCTACCTAAACCACTCCATGACCACTCTTTCAATTTTTTTATATTCATCAGTTTTCAAAACACGTTTTCAGCCTGGGTTATTACACACTGCCGAAGTATGTCTTTCTTGCTCACCATAGTATTTAGTGCTGATACTGGTACATCAAGTTATTCTGAAATCTTTGTGCACATCGCATTGTTGAACATCCACCTTCTTAATGATATTCACTTTTTCAGAAAATGCCTTTTTGTTTGATTGTTTGTCGTTGTTGCCATGTATACATACAGCTGTATATCATCACATGTGCGTTTCTGTGATGCCATTATTCCAGATTCCAAGCACCATGTCACAATATAATAAACAGCTCAGTTTACTTTCATACAACCTCATGAAATTCCACACACTCTCTGTATGTAATCTTGCTCACAAAGACACACTGCCAGATGGATGGAGTTCTGACAGTATCCACTATTTCTGCTAACTTCTACCATTCACTGAGTGCTGCTGAGTGGTGCTTAGCACTGCAATATGTTTTATGTGACATCTACTTTGTTTAACGTCGGCAACAAACACATTATTATCTGACAAAAACTTATTAGATGGAGAATATGTTTGGCTTTTCTTAGATGGGACATCATTTTATGCAGGTAAAGTTTTCAGTGGGGTATAAATACATTATTCTTCTTGTATTAGTTTTGGGACCCAATGATTTTAACTTCCTAGGTGAGAAGCCATTTCAAGGGGGAGTTTCTTAAGCAGCATCCACTGTATATGTTGGAGAATTAAAATACGCCTAACTCCAAGCAGCACAGGCATTCAGCTAGTGAAAAAATTGCTCGTCTTTAATGGAACCCATGAGCTCACTGTGGTCAACAGAGCTCACCACTGGTCCAGCTGACTCCTGTCCACACTTCACTGAAATCCATTCCAGTAATTCATTTGGGTTTCCAAGTGTATCTTTGCTTCATGGTCTTCTAACTAAAATGTTACAGACATTTCTCATCTCTCTCAAGCTTGCTAAGGAGACTCAGGTTCAATACCAGGTCACCATATGGGATTTGTGGTACATAAAGTGCCACCGCAGCCAAGTTCTTCTACAAATTTCATTAGTTTTCCATTGCTAGTCACCACTCCACCATTGCTCGAAATTCATCTACACTGTCCCCTTATGTCCTTGGACTACACAACTGTGGCTTGTCACTGACCTGACATTTGGCTGGTTATGTTGTACAAAAATACAGCTTCTTTCATTATTAATGTTAATGGTCACCTTGGGCAGTGACTCCACACGCACCTAATTAGGGTGTTATTAAAAAAAGTTTCTGTTAAAGAGGATAACAATGATTATGACACTCACCAATGATGGTGATGACAGGGCAAAAACCAAAAACTTACCAAGGGTTCAAGTGTATCCAAATCCTTTATTTTATTTCCACTTAAATTGAGATGTGTCAGTTTGGGGCTTGTGTGGAGGAGATTCAGCCCTGCTGATATACGATTGTCACTTAACTCAAGCTGCAACAATCACAAGGAAAGTGTAAAATTAAGCACATGTAATTAAGAGAACAGAAACTTAGATCAGCAGTCTGCAAATGAATCCCTCAGTCCAAAACACGTGTAGAAATAAGGTACAACATCTACAAACACTTCTAAAAATCTATGTTAGTTATTCCAGTTGCCTCTTCCTTAACACTTGAATGTGGTTCATGGCTGTTAGATTTGGCTACATTCAGAAAGATTTCATGGACATCATATTTCATTCATCCATACAGGTAAACATTTTTGATGATCCACCGCCAACGCAGCATAATACGTAGGTGGGTCAATAAGTACGTTACAAATTGATGTGCGGTACTACATGTTTGAATGAGGACTTGAGGCTATGGCCACTAGATGGCAGCATTAGTCCAGAGGCAGTTGATGACATGAGACAATTGATGTTCACAAAAGCGAAACAGTTGCAAGATGGCAGCGCCTCTGAGTGAGTGTACAACCCTCGACCAGCGCTCCGTTGTGCAGTTTTTGTTGGCAAAAGTATGGAATACCTTATTCATAAAGAAATGCTTCCCATCTATGGTGAGAAGTGCCTGTCACGTCAACCTGTTTACAATTGGGTGCAGAAGTTCTCTGAAGGGCGGACATGGAGATTGCCACAGAGGTGAATGTGCAACGGACTGAAGACTTACTCCGAGCAGACAGAAGGGTAACTATATACACTACAGCCACTGCCATTGGTTCTTCACATGGCATGGCCTACCTCATAATGCATGGCAGGTTAGGTTTTCAGTGTCTGTGCACGATGGGTGCCGCGCATGCTGACCCCACAACACAAAATGCAAAGGATGGGTCTGACATTACAGCATCTCAATCGCTACCACAATGAAGGACACAAAATGCCAGCCCGAATTGTCACAGGTAATGAGTCTTGGGTTCACCATTACCAGCCCGAGACAAAGAGTGTGTCAATGTAGTGGAAACGTCCTCAGTCGCCTGCCAAAAAAAAAGTTTAAGGTGACACCATCCTCCAGGAAAGTCGCGCTCACAGTCTTCTGGAATCACCAAGGCACACTGCTCATCGCATTCCAGCCTCAAGGACAAACTGTAAATGCCGACGCCTACTGTAACATCCTCAGGAAACTTTGTAAGGACATTCAAAGGAAGCGACCAGGACTCTCCACCAAAGTTATGTTGCTCTTGCATGACAACGCGCTTCCCCATACTGCCAACAAGACAAATGAGACACTACGAAATTTCAAGTGTGAAGTCCTCGAGCATCCTCCGTATAGACCCAACCTTGCTCCAAGTGACCTTGTTTGGCCTTCTGAAACATCATCTTTTGGCTAAACATTTCTCGGATGATGAAGCTGTAGAAAGGGATGTCACCACCTGGTTCCTACAGCAGCCCAAAAAATTTTATGCTGCTGGTTTCAGGGGCTTGTGAAATGATGGGACAAGTGCCTCAATGTACAGGGAGATTATGTCGAGAAATAAAAGCATTTTTCAAATCAGTACTCTTATTTGTTTAAGTTCTATATCCATTTGTAACTTACTTATTGACTTACCCTCATACTTGTACATACATAAGCAATTTATTATTAATTTCATCATTACTCAGTCTCCATGTGGGTGTACCTAACAATTTTCTCAACATTCTAAGAATAACTGAAAGACAGTGTGGAATCTTGAACTCATACATAAGAACCATGACCACTGATCAATTAAGAGAAAGTATGACAGGGTGACAGTTGTGTTGAATATTTCATTTTATCATAGAAATCGTCCTGTGCTTAAATGAATCGTAACATATATCTATTAAGACTTATAAATGCAGCAAAGTTCCTCCCAAACATTACTGGATACACACTGGTAAGGACAATCCCAGGCTTGTTTTTGATTAACTGAAAATACAAACTCCAACATCTCTCATTCCAAGAATAGCCAATATGTCAATATAAACCACATCCCAATTTTCTGAGTCCAAGGTGAGTTCAATCATTCCTTCCTCAGCACTTTCATCAATCAGACTTCATAAAGTAATACTTTATTTTACTGTGCAGCTTATTATCTGATAAAACTAAACTTATACATGTGAAACTGCATCTTACAAGCAAGAACACATTTAAATTTCATTCATACTACTCAACATAAATATACCATCAAATACTGTTCCTCAAAACAATAACATTATTTCAGGTACTGAAACACAGTATAAAAAACACATGAAAAGGTTTCTTGTGTTCCTCCATAATTAATTGTGCTACTTTTCCCTCGCCTCTAACAGAAATGAGTACCGGGAATATTCCTGGGGGTAAAGGGCGGGCAGCCAGGCTGACAACCTTACTGCCATCTGTGAGTCAATTGTCTAGAAAATGTGGGAACCCCAACATCTCACAAACCTATGGGCCTCCATGGCATGTTATGGGGATACCCTTCCCTTTTTTTTTTTTTTTTTAAGCTTTTCCATCACTTTCTCCCATCTCTACAGAAACTTTAACTGATGTTAGTATGGAGGTTGGTCTAGAAGTAATTGCAAAGAAAACTAAGTGTATGTTGCTGTCTCATCACCAGAATGTAGGGCAAAATCATGACAAGACATTTAACATATCCTGTGAAAATGTAGCATAATTCAAATAACTGGGAATTACAGTAACAAATCAAAATCTGATTCAGGAGAAAATTAAGAGGAGACTGAATTCAGGTAATGCTTGCTATCATTCAGTCAAGAATACACAAAACTATCATTTTGCATGTGGTTCTGTATGGGTGTGAAACTTGGTCTCTGACGTTAAGGGAGGAACATGGACTGAAGGTGTTTGAGAACAGGGTGTTGAGGAGACTATTTAGATCAAAGAGGGATGAAGTGACTGGAGGGTGGAGAAAACAGCAGAATGCGGAGCTTCATAACTTGTTCTCTTCGCCAAGAACAATTAGAATGATAAAGTCAATGAGGATGAGGTGGGCAGGTCATGTAGCACGAATGCGGAAGACGAGGAATGTGTATAGGATATTGAAGGCAAAGGAAGAAGGGAAGAGACCACTAGGGAAGTTAAAGACGCAGGTGGGTGGATGACATTAAAATCAAGATAGGATGGGGTAGTATGAACTGCATTCCTCTGGCTCAGGACATTGCCCAGGGTAATGAACCTTCTGGTTACATAAAATGGAAAGTTCTTGAGTAGCTACACAACTGGTGGCTTCTCAAGAAGGCCTCAGATCCATGTAGTTAGTTAGTTCTCCCATCTCTTCACTTTCACCAAATATGGCCCTTCTCACATATAAAACCATTCTTCCCCTTGATTGTAAGGGTTTCTTTCTCTGGGCTCCTTTCTGAAGGCATAGATCCTAAACAAGATCTCTATATGCGGCTCAATTTGCTGTTCACGTGGTTTAGTCTTCAGCCCTTAGCACAGATTATACATGCTCCTCCAAAAGTCAGTTAAGTTCTCAACTACAGTGTCACACCCCAGAATATTCATTCATTCATTCATTATTGGAGGGCGTGGGTTTCCCCATACACCGTGACCAGTTGTTAATCTTTTGTACGTCCCCCTTTGATATTCTACCAGTCGCCATACCCTCCTGGTACTGGTGTTCACTATCAGCCCCGTTCAGCCAGCGAGTTCGGCTCCTCTACTGGCAGTGGTACCTGATACTTCCCCATATACCGGGGGCATTGGAAACTACTTGGGAGGGAAACTTTTTACCTAATTTTGCTCAGAGGTCTCCTAGAGACATGAGGATCTATTACGTGCCGTAAAGCTACAACACGGGACCCACGGCTTAAAAGTCCCTCCTGGAGGACTTGTTCCCCGAATTTTTCCGCCCTTAAACATTCCACGACCTCCGCTGGGTTTGAACCCGCGTATCTTCAGGTGGGAACGTTACCCCTAGACTACGGAGGCCGCACACCCCAGAAGATAGTCAAAGTAACTGCTGCAATACTCTCAAATCCAACACCTCACATATATCTATTAATTTATCAAACCATTCCTTACCCATGACAGATCCTCCTCCACCATGCAAGTGCATTACAGTAAAGGTTAGATGAATCTGTGATCACAGTATACTATATCCAAAATCTTACACCCATCAATCCACTCTGTCTCCTAAGACAACTCTCATGCAAAAACTGACACAAAAATGTGCTTCAATTTTGAAACAGAAAATAGAGCGATCGAAAGACTGAAGAGGATAAAAATAAACTGAAAATCATGTTCTGTAACAGTTTCCCTCATGCGACTGACAGGATTCATGTAACGGACACACCCCACTCCTCACAGATGCTGGATAATGGGGATTTTACTGTAACTGTTCAGCTATTTACATATTCCCCATACTTCATAGAACCAGAATATTCACTGCAAGAGCCCACCAATGCCAGTCACCATAATCAGACAGATGAATCCATCCCATACACCTTCCCCCACTGTATTTAAGAACCATGTGAATATTATCTTCCTGTCTACCCCTTCATCTTCCCACTTTTCTATTAAGACTCTGTATGCACTTTTCATCTACAATGTGTGCTACAAGACCCACCCATCTTGTCCTCCTATACTTAATCATCCTGACATCATCTGGCAAAAAGCAAAAATTACAAAGTACCTCATTATGGAACTATGATGGTAAACTAAGATGGCAACATCTAAATCGGTTAACTTTTGTGTTTCACATAATTCTCTCAAAGAGCCATGATCTGATGTTCTTCAGCACAGAGAATATTATCAGTACAGTCTTCTGAGAGTTTGTAATTCAGTACTGGGGGTTACACATCTTCCCCTTCTCACAACCTATTCCATCTTGGCAAGAAGTTTATTGTCTGCTTTTACCTTTCTACTCAGACATCACTATCTAGGATACAACCTGTTGAAATTTCAATGTGATATTGTTAAAAGCGAACATCATCAAAGATACTGAACCTCAAGGATTTCAAACTTCTAAAAATACAACTACATGTACCCAAAACACTATACTTGACAGAATAATATGTAAAATGTAGTGCTGCTCTGTGATGGAAACTATATCAGCACAAATTACCTGCAAAAATTTTTATTAGTTTTATTCAGCAAGCATATTTTGTTTGTTTTTGTGGTGTTCATGCTGCAGTATACTGTGTAATGGAAAATACAATGATGCCAAAAATACTTTCACTTTTCTTAGCAACAAAAGTAAGGTTTAGTATAATTTTTTCTGTAAGATTTGAGGCTTTCACGGAGGTGACTATGAAGAAAGCAGTCTTCTGGGATTTGGCACCGTGTATATGTGGTGTTAACCGACGTTTCGGAGGAACGTATCGCCTCCATCTTCAGGGTAGAAGAAAAAATATATAATTGCAGATTCTTATATATTTTTTCTTCTACCCTGAAGCTGGAGGCGATATGTTCCTCCGAAACGTCGGTCAACACCACATATACACGGTGCCAAATCCCAGAAGACTGCTTTCTTCATAATTTTTTCTGTCCACTGCTTGTCAATCTTTGCAGTTACTTTGATTTCCTGTTGTTACACTCACATCACTGCAATAACATCAGTAATTTAAATGATGTTACACAAACAAAAACCTTGAATGTGTGTAGTCTGGCCAAAAGAAAACTGTTCAATATTAATGTAATAATTCAAGAACTAACTTTCATATTTTTGTGCCCTTATATTATGGCTTTCATTTGGTAAAATTAAACTATGTAACATTATAGACCGACTGCAACACAAGACTGGCAACCACTGGCAATGAAAACAACTTTAATACAAACTGGTATCTTGCCTGCAGATGCCAAACTTTTAAGTTCCTCAGAAAAAACTGCCAGCAGTCAACTGCTGGAACTGATACTGGATGAACCTCTATTCTAGTTCTGTTTAATGGCATATGACACGGACTTCGTTGTGTGATGTGGGCCGTACTGTGTATACAGTCCCCCTGAGACAAGCGCAAACAGGGTCCTTCTTGTTCTTCTTTCTCATTTCAGTCTTATTTTCAATTTACACAATGGAATGTTAATTATGTACCAGGGCTGAGGAAAGTTTTTGCCACATCTAGTCTACTACAATGGTACGGGTAAAGCACTCCCTGTAAAGGGGTGTGGAGACCCATCAGGTTATGAGACATCAAGTCTCCCACATTTTCTACACAATCAGCTCGCTGTGAGGCTGTCAGCCTTATGCACCAGCCAGCCGCCCTTTACCTCCTAGGATAATTCCTTGTATTCATTTCTGTTGGAGGCTGAGTCAACCCCAGGCCATAGTGGGGGTGGAAGGACTAGGTCAACTGAGAAAACCAATGACCGCACCAGGAATCAAACCTACGATCTTCCAACTTGTGACACAATGCCTCAACCAACTATGCCACCACGTGCCCCTGCCTAATATAATGATATTGTTGAAAATGCTCATATGTAAAGATTCCAGTGCAGTTACAGTGGATATTAGTATACCCCTGGTGTCATGACATTTTTCATTTTAAATAATTATCCCTTGAATTTTAATCATGCTGATGAGATGCAGACAGGGCTAGGTGGCTTATATGATGAAGCAGACCTGGCTTATATACCTGCTGCTCATGACCACCAATTCTTCCAATGCTTCCACTCAAAATAAGAAAATGGGAATAGGGAGGTGAAAAGCAATGGAAATCTGATGTCAACCAAGACACACAGATGAAGAAATGAACTTTAGTGTAACACTGCTACTTGTGACCGAAGAATAAAAGTGAACACTCATCACAACTTCACTAATGTTGTTTGCCTATCTGAGGCTTGAAGTAACAGGACTGCTGTCAAATGTGAAAACAAAATCACATCAATTGATGTTTAAATCCTCAGGTCAGGGGGTGGAAGACACCTACTCTATTGGGTCCATCAAAAAGAACTAACCTCAAGCAGTGGACCTCTTTCTAATGGACCCAAAAGCGTAGACATCTCCAAATGCCTCGCCTGAGGTTGGAAACAGATCTAGATTCTTTAGAATACTGGAAAAAACCCAGTAATTCTGAGAGTTCTGTTCATTAGTCTTCAAAACGAAGGTAATAATGCAGGCCAAAAACTTGCATGAAGAAAGAGAACGGTTCTGCTTTACTAAGATGCATATGAAGTGGCCTCCGTAGTCTAGGGGTAACGTTCCCACCTCGTGACTCAAGGTACGCGGGTTCAAACCCAGCGGAGGTCATGGAATTTTTAAGGGCGGAAAAATTCAGGGAACAAGTCCTCCGGGAGGGACTTAAGCCGTGGGTCCCATGTCGTAGCTTTACGGCACGTAAAAGAACCTCATATCTCCAGAGGAGGTCACTGAGCCAAATTCAAGGACATTTCCCGTCCAACAGTAGTCTCTAACGCCTCTGATAGATGGGGGAAGCATTATAGATACCGCCAAGCCAGTAGAGGCCGAACTCGCTGGCTCGGTCAGGACTGATGGTACGCACCAATATCGGTATGGTATAGAGACTGGTAGAATATCATAGAGGGAAGCACAATGGATCAATACTGGTCTAAGTGCATGGGGAAACCCACCCTCTCCAATAACAACAACAACAACAACAACAACAACACAACAAGATGCACATGATGTACTAGTACTCCTTGCATGAAAATGGTTAAGTTCAGCACCGTGTGCTGAAGCCATCTAAGAAAATGTCAAAACAAGCTCACATCTACTGATCTAGGCTATGCGAGATCTTGAGCAGTTAGTACAGAAAGTTAAATAAGGGGCAGGGGATAATTTGGACCTTCTTAACCTATTTCCTGAACTATTCCATTCCTTCTATAAAAACCTTCCCAGACATTACTGAAGACAGTGGACAGGAGCCTGGTTTACACAAGTTCTTAAGTCACTGCTTCGTTTACATGTTCGTTTTACAACAATAAGAATCCTCCCATGTAACAATGGTGTGGAAAGGTACACAACCTGGCCTTATTTAGTCTAAGAGGTATATGTCAAACTGAAGTACAACTGCTGATTTCCCATTATATGTAATCCTGCAAACCCTGCACTTCAGTCTAACATTTGTACCTAAACTGCATGATCATATTTCAACAAGAATCAATATATCAGATTTCTGCACACTGCTTTCGTTTTCAGGGCATCCAGTTGTTCACCTTGCTGAGTTATTTCACAGCAGTAATGCAGATAATCTGAAGATTAAAATTTACTAACTACTTTTAGCTTGCAAAGCCAAGTTCATTACCTTCTTTAAGTTGGGTAGCTTTGGAAATCCTTTGAGACTTGTAAGACCCACATTAATGAGACTTAATGTCTCCAGATTTGTAAACTCATCACTAAGGCCAACAATGCTGGTACTCCTACAGTTGTCCAGATTCAATTCTGCGATCTGAAATAAGATTTCACAATTCAGTTTCATCACTCAATTAACTTATACCAAATAAACCAGGTCACTCAATCAGTACAGAGACTGGGTCCAGACTGGATGACCAGGATTTGATTCCCAGCAGGGACAGAGACTTTTCTCTTCATGTTAAAACTGGCTCTGGAGGGGGATGGGGGGCATTGAACCCTCCAATGATGGAGACTCCTTCCCCAACAAGCAGCTGGGGTCTGACACTACCACTCTCACCTGCAGCTAATGATTAGACAAAGCAGAGCTATACCTCCACACAGTGGGTTCACAATGGACTGTAGCACAAATCCTTTAGCTTTACTTCTTAAATCCTTGGGTACAAAGCTGCCATGGCTTACACAAGAGCTGTCTAACTTGTGGCCCATATGTTGGTTATGTAGCCCACAAGGGTATATTTCTATTCTGCAAAAGAAATGTTACTACAAATTCCATATAATTTGTTAACTGGATTCACATAACATATAATTAGAAAACTGTGGTATCAGTATGACTTCCTAATGGTATGCAACATTGACAAAATCTAACAAACCTTATTAAATTGAAATGTTACTGAACCTTATGGGCCCAATTCTTATTCTTGTGCTTCATACATCTATCACCGTTGGGCAGATATTTTAAGATACATTCTTTATGATGCAACGTGCTCCTAGGTACTTCAGGTACTCAGTAGTTTGAAACTGGACAGCTCTGGCCTAAATATTAAACAATGATGTCACAAAGCCTATATACTATGTCAACAGGGTACAAAGGAAAACATTTGCCACTTTCTCAGTCTAAAAATATGAGTGGGCCTTTCTAGGTGCAACAATGAAGGGAAAAAATTCCAAAGCCCTTGCCACAAGAAGGGGTACAGATCAATAGCTGCCCCTTTCTTTGTTACCTAAATACAGAAAACCAAATACTTACCAATTAATACCATAGGCCAGTGGGGGCCAAATTGTTAAGATTAAATATCTTTAGTCCCACAATATTATAATAAATATTAACGCCTATTCCCCAAACTAATTTTTTAACAAGGGCAATACTAATTACTACAGTGAGACATACTTCAAATGAAGACAGTGTTAAAGAAAACACTTCTGTGAACATACATGCAAAACCACAGAAACAAAAGACAACATAATATGACTGCTTCATATTGTGTGCTCATGAGCTGAAACAGTCTTGTACATGGATGCCAAAGTTTTGGAGGAACCTGATGCCTTCATCTTCGGGTGTCAAGTGTACAGGCAGGTGAATTAACTCAGTTACCCAGGTCAACCAGAAGCATGTAGGAAAAGGCCCTTTTATGGGGCACACAAAGCCTGTCACAAATGGGAAACTGACTGATGGAAATAAAAAAGACCCTGTCCAGGGACGCAGTTTCAGTTTTCATGACAAAATGTAGACCTAAGAGAGAAGACACTTCTTTCAAGGACCACGTACATTTACCCAACAGGAGGGAAAGATCTGCACTGGCAACAGAACTGTATTTATTAGAAACCAATGAAGACAAACATTAGAGCACAAAGCTCGGAACAGACATGGTACTGAAAACTAAACCGTTTTAACAAAAGCACCTTCATGATGTTTCTCTTATGAACATCTACATAACTTTCAAGGGTGAAAGTTCATTTGCTACTCACAAGTGATGATAAAAAATTTAATGACAGAGAACCATACTTGGTGCATGCGCCATAGCTCAAGCGGCTAGTCGCTGGCTTCCCAGCGCGGCGGCCCGGGTTCGAGTCCGGGTCTGGTCAAGTTGGATTTGTGGACAAAGTGGCGCTGGAGCAGGTTTTCTCCGAGTACTTCGGTTTCCCTTGTCAATCTTCATTCCACCAATTGCTCCACAATCACCCTCACCTATCATCTGGGGCTGGTACAACAGGCCAGAAGTGGCCGCAGTACAAGGAACTTAGTCCCACCCACTAGCAATAAAAAAATACTTTCTGCAACTCAATATTATTAAATATTTGCTTACAATAATTTTCCTACAACTCTTTTGTAAGAATAAATTATCCATACAAAAATGCTCAGGCCCTTAACATTAGCAAAACACGTGGTTTCCTTTTAAATTTACCGCCTCCACCCTTCACCTATTCAGTAAACATTCGTCAACTCTTTATTGGAGTACATTTCCTTTTCCAACTGCGGATCAAACATATTTAAACACTATAAATTTACTAACCTATTACGTTAGGTTTCACTTGGAATTCTAAACATTATAACATAACGAACTAAATTATCGATCGGAATGCTACTCGTATGGGAGTTTGATGTACAGCACGAGTTGATCTACGCTATTTCGGAAGTACGGATGTCCAACAAACCCTGCTACACACGTAAATACAGTGAGTTCCCATCTATTTGGGTACGTACTTGGGCACATTTCTCAATCTTGCTTAACAATGCCTGCTAATAGCAATAATTTGTAATTACTGTTCCAATATCACGGAAGAAAGTGCCTACGTGCCTGTCTGGCAGAAGCGCGCAGCAAACACATTTTCCATCATGGCCGCTTAGCAACCGGTTCAACACTTGTGAAACGACGCTAATTTCAAATTATAAATCACCACACTTACGTTCATGAAACTCGTGTTTTGTATCAAACAACACAACGTCTACATGGTGTATGTAAAGTAAATAACTCCTAGTATACGGTTAGTACGAAACTACGGCCGTTATAAATAATACGACGTAAAGACGCCGCGTCTATCAATGACCTCGACACAATAGTTTGCACCCTTACCGCTAAACTTAGTGTAAACACAATCGTGTTAAATATTAACTGTTACTCGGTGCCAGAAATGTGAATTACAATAATACAATGTTTCATTATTAAGAAAAATATGCGAAGTAATACCATAATTATCCAACATGGCGTCCTAATAGTATCATAAATACAAATCAAAATCAAAACACTGAACCTGGCATTCAAATTTCAACTTCAAAACACTAAATTACGCACCAAACAATAAACTGTTGTTAGCAATACCATTATTTATACATTTGTACGCCGTAAGCACATATCTAGGCAGTCCGGCTCAAGCCATTTTAAAATCCTGTGTTGATTAAACTGTGTTAAACGACTTGCAATAAATACTGTAGCCCCACCCACCCAAGTAAATTACTGGAAATGTATTTCCTCTTATATTACTATTGTGAACTTAACAATGCAAACTACTAGGGTAAATAATTTTAAGTTCGGTTTAACATCAACGCCACATGACAATCCATGCTTGTTTTAACAAGATGATTGCTACACACGTGCAAAATAATTACTGCGCATTAAATGTGCATCCTCAGCTGCACATACGTAATATCAATATAATATTTTTTAAGTTATATTTAATAAAAACATTATTTTCCCAAGTTGATTTACATACACAAACAGTATCCCAGATTACATTATGGGGCACATGTTTCATGAAAAGTGCAATAAAAGCCCTACAATAGAAAATAATATATACTGCCTACCCCCTTCAATGAATATAAACACATGCTTCTGATAGTGGGCCTCCATGTCTCACCAACTGGCATTCACCATTACCTGGCCTGTAAACTACCTAAATTACTCTTACATTATCGTCACACAACTAGTGGGATTATTTTGAAATACGCTTACTTTGTCTGGGCTCCTTCCCCGTTTTTCGAGTTCTATCCTCTTCTCCATGCCGCTGTTATTTCCCTTCTCCGGCACACGAGAACGGACAACGTAGCTCACTTCCTCTAACCTTTACCTTCAAACCTGGAATGACGGACGGTCGCCACAACGTATTCGCGGTGGCTCCAATGCAAGCCTAGAGGGGTCTACACAATAACAGAACACGAGAGGCGGGAAATGAAACACATGTCTGGGACTACTTTCGAAGAAGCCAATCAGATTACTTGTCTGAAATTATGAGATGATTTGGATGCCATCTGTTGAGTGAAACGTGAATTTATTGATCGACGGATTTCTGTTGAGGCGAGAAGAGTGAAGAGTTTATTATACAAATGAGAGAAACAAATTATTATGTGCGATTATATTTTGAAATCTTGTAATACTACCGTTCAGAAAATAGGCTGTATTCAGTTCAGTACGCCGAAAGTAAATTATTCGGTACTGATTTGATGCCATTAATTTTCCCCCTCCTTTGAGTAAAAATAAACACATGCCCTTGAAAGAATATATGATACTGCGAAACGAAAACCGTTGTTCCAAAGAACTAAATAATAAATTTGCCAATGGATCCTTAAAGTGATATTAATTAATATTACCGTCAGGGAAGATAGAATTCGTGTCATTAGTTTCGTCAAGTAGCAACACCACAGAAAATATGGTCCTCGCCTGTGAAATGATAGCAGTTGGTACGGCATGCACAAGACTTCAGCAGTTTGCCCCTTCATGTATAGGCGAATCCCCTTACCTCCCACCCGCCGGGATCGATAGGTATATAGACCCAGTATTGATTGCAATGCAATTCAAGTTGCCTCGTTTCACAATGGCCAACTGTAGTGAGACAGAAGATTGTCACCCATGTTTACGGTTAATTGCTACCAATGAAGCGAAAATGCTTTCCCATAATGTAGTGACATGTGAACTGGTTAAGTGACACTTTCTAGTGACTATCTGGATAACTAGTAAATCCTTTGTCAACGCATCTAGAGAGAAGAGGAAACCCACAAAACATTGATTGTAGTTAATCTATCGAGGATGTATTTTATGGAACGATGCTGTGGCGTAATAGAAAATTGTGAATTTCCCCCTCTTAAAGCCCACCTAACATCCCCAGCGTCATGGAATATTGATTTTATACTTCTGTCCGTATTATACAGGTACATACACAGCAATAACATATCATACAACGGTATATTGCCAGTGGTGGTTTAATTTTGCATGCATGTTATCGATGTGTTGAACGAAATCTTTAACTGCATGCACGGACTCACTTCACATCATAGGATGCACTGGGGTACAAACCAACTACGTTCACATGAGAAGACATACTTCTTACATGTGTACGAACTGCAATAGAGCTTGATTTGAAAATCAATACAAGACCTAGATGAGTTCGTAGTGGTGTTGATTCCGTTGTCATAGTAATATAATAGTTCTGATGAGACTGTGGATGGATCATTCGCGAACGAATCGCTCTCTGTTTCGAGAGGAACTACATACGTATTCAATACTGGCCTCATTTCTACCCCACCATACTCACTCAAACTTGTTGGTGTACTACAAATTATATCGTCAAAAACAGATGGCAGCACTAGGAATAGAACTTCTTATTTGCCATGACTATTATTATTATTATTATTATTATTATTATTATTATTATTATTATTATTATTGTTGTTGTTGTTGTTGTTGTTATTATTATCATTATCATCATCAACCATCAATTTACAGCACTGTCAGGATGTAAACTATACAGCGTTGAATTTTCAGGGTGATGTATAGAATTTGGTAGGAAGCACTCGTGGTACTGTTCCAGCATTTGCGTTGAGATATCGAGTAAAACAACAACAAACATTGTCAGGATAGACTGTGTCCGAGTAAAAATTCGAATTAAAAATTTTGCACTAGAAGTCTAGAACATTACGGTACACCATCCAACTCGGTGAATAAATGTCATGTTTCGGCGGTTACAGTAATCTGGAGCCAGAAGTGTGTGATCTTCGATCTTGAAATTTTGGGGAAACATCTGAACTGGAAAAAAATTAAATATACCAAAAATTATAATTCAAATATTGTAAAACGAATATTCCATTACGCAAGAAAAGCACAACTTTGTTATCAAATTTTTCCTGATTCATTCCTTGCGCGTCATATGTAAGGCAGAGAAGAGTTCGTCGCCAGTGGCAGGCTTCGACACTTATGTGTCCTTAGAACCTAAGCCGTTTTTACTGTTGTTGAATCTCCGAGGATGTATGGACTCCATAGTGGAGTTCTCGGTACCGCTCGGTACTTCCCTGTCACTCAGTGATGTGTCTGACTGTGACATGCTCGGGTCAGCATGTCTGATATGGATCTGTAATTTAGCTGAGATGGATGGGAGAGAGATACCTAGCTGTGTGTTAAGGAACTTTCTTGTTGGTGCAGTCTCTAACTTTATTGTATAGTTACGGAGATCCTGACAAGACAAGGAGAGGCAAGTACTCTTTGTATTGGTAGAAGAATCGCCATTAATACTGACAATGTTGATGGTTTAGACATTGGTGCTGAATGCCATGACCTCCGAGGAATCCAGAATTAAGAATCCACGTATTTTCAAAGACTTATTGCCAAGTACAAATGTTAGGGGGATGAACCACGGTCACTACCCAATCCATCAGCGTAAATTCCCAATTAAAGGGGAGAAACATTCGGTATGATGTTACATAACATGGGTATGCTAATTGAGGACTTTTAGATTTACTAATTATCACACCAGTAGACCCCAGTACTGGTTATCTTGTTCCACATTTCATGCAGTAGGCCAATATCTAACATAAGTTTAGTTTTAAAATATTACTTACGTACATTATAGATTAAGTTATTTGAAGACCGAATTATTTATGATTCCTCTAGCAAATTGTTATTTTATATTTTGATAGTGCAATAATAATTATATATTGCAGGACTTTTTCGTAACTGTACAATATGAAATGAAGGAAGTCTTTACCTCCTACAAATAATATACGAGGGTTGGAACTTTAATAGTGGCATCACTGCTGTAGAGACGCCATGCAACGGAACCAGATAATGTCGCTTATATAATACCACACGTTAGTTACATACCTACCTTACCTCAGAGCAAATGGACTCTCCCTGCCAACATCACGCGCATGCGCAGTGACGAGAAGAACAGAGCCTCGTGTTAGCTGGCGGTCTAGTGTAGTGTTGTCACGATGTTTTCGAAACAGGAACGACGGAGTTGGATAAAGATTGAATGTGTCAGAGGCTGTACAGCACTACAGTGTCATAAAGGTCTTCAAGAGGCTTGCGGGGAATCTGCATTGCCTTACAGAACAGTGGCAAGGTGGGTAAAAGCCTTCAACGAGGGACGCCAAAATGTGGCAGACATGCGTCGGCCAGGTCGTCCTAGTGTCAGTGAAGAAGAAGTGTATCCATTCTCCGCGTTACTGGAGAGTGATCGACGCCATACGATTCTTGAGCTGGCTCGAGAGACAGGATTAGCGCATATGACAGCGCTTCACATTCTGAAGGAACGCCTGGGCATGAGAAAAATTGCATCACGATGGGTTCCGCATGATTTGACGGGAATTTAAAAAATGGCTACGATACGACGCTGCTCGCAACCACTTGGAGCGCTATGAGCGCGAAGGAGAGGCTTTCTTACGCCGTATCATTACGCTGGATGAGACATTGGCCAAATCGTACGAGCCACAAATGAAAGGCCAATCGAACGAATTGCGTCATTACGGGTCACCACGAAAATCAAAAGTTCGTCAGATCCCCAGCAGGCCCAGCAGTGTGAAAGTTATGGTGATTCTCGTGTACGACTGTGATGGTGTTATCCTAACACATACCATTCCCTGACAGCAGACCGTCAATGCACAGTATTACTGTTCACTTTTGAAACACAACCTGCGACCAGCTTTGAGAAAGAAGCGGCGACACTTTCCGCAGAACCAACCCATCATTTTGCAGGACAGTGATCGGCCGCATGCAGCGCAAGTTGGGCTTATTTGTTCGATCGATGGGGCTGGGAAGTGCTGTACCATCCACCATACTCCCCGGACTTAAGCCCTTGTGACTTCGACTTGATTCCTAAGGTGTGGGAATCACTTCGTGGCATTCGCTTCAGAACTGTTCCAGAGATTCTTCAGGCAGTAGACCGCTCCACTCGAACTATCAACACAACAGGCGCTGCTAAAGGTATCCTACGACTTCCACATCGCTAGCAACGGGTAGCATATATGCTGCCTATTGCGTCGTGTAGCAACAGATAAAATATAGCTTTATGTTGGAGTAGTTCAATGAAGTCCAGTGAACTTGTGCAGATGGCGTCGGTTGAAAGTTTCCAAAATTCATTCCAACGCATTGCCTCGGCTAAGAAATTGCTGAATTCGCTTCAGTGCATGTTACTATTTCCGTGTCCTCTATTATTTGGAGCATTCTGAAGTGTTCGGATGTAAATAAAACAAAACGAAAGAACCCGGATTCCTTTTCCGGAGAAAAACGACTTTCTGATACTACTTTTAGCGATAATTCTTCGAAAATATTCTTCTTCTGTGACTGCTGGAAGTTCTGCTTCTTTGCTAAGAGCGGAGAGGTAAATCCCATACTGATAGGCATCCGATGTCGCGAGCTCGAAGATTGCACTGAAATCTTGTGCTGCATCTACTCGATTATCTCGAGACTTGTCTTTCGACTACTCAATGTGTTTCAATATAAATCGGGTCTGCAATACTTGTTTGCACGATGTACACGAGGTGAACCCATATAGAGCTGTGCCTGCCTGTCCCCATGTATCAGCTCGAGAACTATTGGACATGACAAATCCAGATTGGTGGATTTTACGGGGGGGGGGTCGTCGAGCAATTTTAATTTTTATTTGTCAGTCAGTCATCAGTAATCTGTCAGACGACAGGTCCACAGTCTCTTCCAAAACAGTTCCTCCACTTAATATGATCTCAAGGTTTCTCCTTCAATTAAAATATCCTCTTCTGTCCCCAAGGTCATCCAGCATCTTCTTACGTCTTCTTGGCACTTCTGTCCGCCCCTCCGGTTTGTTTTGTCTCCAGAGGAAATATCTCGCATACATGGTATCTCTGTTTTTGGATGTTTTAATGATGTTACATATAAATGCTGTAGAGA